TAGCCAGAAGCAAGGAAGACCAGGAGGGAGGAGCTTTCGCATCGTGTGGTCCTTCGCACAAAGATAGGAATGCAGACAAGCACCCGGCGGGCGTGGGCTGGGTTCACCTGCCCACTCACTTCCCAGCTCCCAACCTAGGCGGGGAAGGACTGGTTGAGCGGGGGGGGTCTTCGAGAAAAATAGCGAAAAACAAGTGGCACGATAAATTCACAAGGCTTGTAGGACAATTTGCCCTGCAGGACAGAGGCCCCTGAGCAGGCGGTGCGAGAAGCGTTTTCCAACGAAATTACTCTTCTAGTGCCCTATCAAGCTGCGACATGCTGATCTGGATGCCCAACTTAATTTCACGACCACAAATGGCTGTACAGTCACATTCGCCGGTACTTTTATCGCATCATTCATGAAGTAAACTGATATGAAGCGTTGTTGCATGGGTGTAGTACAGCCCCATCTACCTTAGCGGTTGTTAGCATCATGCCAACAGGAAACTCGTCCAAGAACTCTCGTCCAGTGCCGTGCAGAACAAAGGTTTTTCGCAGGCACCGTTTAACTTCATTTCTTTTCGACTTTTTCCCCCACTATGTAGCACCCTACTGTTTTCGAGCAAGTACCAGATTAAGTGCCTTATGCCTTCAAGAAACAAACCTGGTATCGCTGCCAAGCATGCTGCAAGAATCGACGCCGGAAATAGGAACGAAACAATCCCGCGCCATATCCACAATCGAAGATTGCTCTCGTAATCAGCAATGAAGAACGAGGCGAATGCTCGCTCAATAATCACTGCCACTATGAAACCAGTAAGTTCCACGAGGAACATACCGCGGACCAGTGTTGCCACAACAACAGGAATTTTTGAGCCCAAAGAGTCTGAAATGGCTACCATAGCATAGCCAGCTCGAATGTAGAAGACGTCGAATTAGGCAGCGTTCAGACTTCGCGATAACGCGCGTTGACGCGTTGTAACGCGCTACCACTGCGGGAGCCCCCAATGCTGTAGACACGAAGGCAGCCGCTGACGAGAATCGATCAGCGCTGCCAGATGTGAGAAATTCATAGGATAACAGAAGGCAGTGTATAGCATCAATGTGTGAAACACATAGGGGGTTGTAGTCTTCCGCTGGGAAGGGGAGGGGGCCGTATTTGTCGTTGTTGGGAGAGCAGGGAGCCTATGTGAATTTGAGAGGAATTTGCCGCATTGGGAAAAAAATTCTCCCGTTGGCCACCACTTTTCGCTGTCTTTCCCGTTTCATGTGTACTTCACACCACCTCCCCCACGCTCGACGGAAAATCCTTGGATGAAGAACTGGAAAATGAGGGGAAATTGGTAGGTGGGTGTTGGGAAGAGGGAGGTGGTATCACTATTTCGCACATCAGGATACTGTACCCTGATGGGAGGGCAGATTCTGCCTTCACACAGTCTGGTATCCTCCTTTCCTATTTGTTCCTCTTTATTCTCTACAGCGAACAATGCCAATCGATACCGGATTGTGTGATTAGGCAACACCTACCCTCCTAGTCCCTCACACTCTCTAAAATGCAAGCATTCGGCGCCGATCGATTCTTGTCTGCGGCTGAGTTCGCGTCTATAATACTGGAGCGTAGCATTTGTAGTGCGTAGACGCCAAGTCTGAACGCTGCCTTATGGCGCTTTCGTCGAGAGAAACTCACCGCTGCACTGTAAATATTTGGTCCGGTACATAAACAGTACAATTTGGGCAATTGCACCACAGGAAGACATAATAATGTGAGCCTGAAATAGTGCGTTACTATAGTTGTAGAGTCTGTATCGGTAAGGGGTTACATTTTAGTACATGGCCGCTGAGAACTATTTTCATTCTCTTCATAGAGTGGGATAATCATTCGTGTCAAAAACGTCACTTAAAGACACCATGCGGGACAGCCTGGTGGGCGGAGCTTGGAAGCGACGTGATTGGCCCGTTCATCTTTGTGTCTTTTTCACCTCCATAAAACTTGGTAAGGAGAAAGGTGCGCCGAAGAAGTCGGCTCTTGGGTTCCAAGCGGTTCCGAGTTTCTCTGGGGCGCTAGTAAAGGGGGGGGGGAGTTGGGTGTCTCACCTGTAAGCGCCTGTCACCATGGCTGACGCTACAATCTGTGAACACGTCAAAACCGGGCAAACTTGACAACACCCTGTGAGCCTTGTTATCATCTGTCCAGCACCCTGTAAACTCTGTCAGACTTGTCAGTTCAAGATTCGGAGGGAAATGGAGAAACACCCTAGTTACTATTTCGCCTGGCTTGACGGGACTCTACAGGGTACCTTACAGGAATTGACACCACTGCTAGGGTAAGACACAACTGTTTGCCGCCTACCCCTCCAGCTCCAAGGTTACTAGCGCACTCTTCATCAACAGAAAGGTGACCATTATATAAAAAAGACAAATACCTGTGTTATACGACATAAGTTTTTGTGAAAGAGAGCCGTCTTTGAAAGGCCATGAATGATCAGGCAATTTTGTGGTAGAGTTATAAGTATAGCTAGTATCTCAATCATATGCAGAACTTGAACACCATAGTTGTTCTCTCTGAAGCCGTTGGCTGCTTCAGTAAGTATAGGAACTTCCAAGCCTATATCAGCTGTTAGTTGAAGGTAGGAGTTGTTTTGAATGCAAGACATATCCTGGAAAGAAAAATTTGTTATAATATTCTATCCTTCCAATTCTGGACGTTTTAGAAGGCACGGCCCATGCTCATCATTTCGCCTTCTCATTGATGAGACTATTCCTCTGGTGAAGTGAAGAAGGGAAGCGCAGTAGCAGACCAGATTCCTGCCACCGTGGACCCCTACACACTTCTTGAAGACTATATAAGGGTTCCAGTGACATTGTATAGGCCAACCGGATGACCGTGAGGGTTTTTTGGAAGAATGCGCGAAGAATAGATGGGTCTCGATCGGCGCCACTTGCTGGTGTTTCGAGAGAGAATAGAGGAAAATAGATTGGCTCCAGACGGTGGATTAGGCTTCATAAAGTAGCAAGGTCTGCAATGTGGTTGCAAAATGGCAACGTTTACAATAGCACAGCTGACGATGACTACTCTACGACCCCAATCACACGATCTGAAAGCCCTTCTGATCGTCTCCAATTGGCATTCGTCGCGAACAGTGACGAAAGTATAACTCATGAATATCTGGTCAGGCGCGCTTTCCCCCCGAAATGCCGGTTCAACGCTAGATTGGCACGTCCACCTATCCTATAGCAGTTTATTTGTCGCAAAGTATGTACGCAACTTCATGACACAATTGATGCCGCAATGGCAAAGCCCATGAAAAATAAGCGGTTGGAGCGTTTCTTCGGAGGCCTTGTTTGAACATGGTGTTGTACCAGATGGTCAAGACAGTATGGGGGCGAGCGGGTTGGGGATCTCCGCTGGACGATGTTCTTCCCTTTATAGCCATGACGCGAATGAGAATCAGGGGCGCTGCTGTGGAACGATTATATGACACCGCTCAATGGTACCCTATTGTCTACGGGAGACGTACTCCATGACACTGAAGTGGTGGGTCCGAGATGCGGGTGACCCCGTTGATGACGTCTCTTGTCTCCACTCTGCGGCTCGGATGTACCTTATTTGACCCGTCAAGAGGTACACCCTGATGGTGAGCTACTTATAAGGTGCTTCACACACGCTCTGACGTAGCACGAGTAAGAGAGCGAGCGCGAGAAATTCACGGTGGTTGTTCCTCTCTGCTCGAGTCTTCCCAAGTACTGCGAATGTAGAAGAGGGACTGCCAAGGGGCCGCATACGCAGCACAGTTAAGTAGTAGAGGAAAAAAGCTTTTCAAATTTATTCTTACTAAGAACGTCATGGCTGGAAAGCCTCAGAGGCGAACGGGAGCTGCCTCCATATAGTCAGTGCTTCACGTTCGCGCTAACCATTTTTCAAGAAGCAGTCCAGTAATTACGAATAAGATTGTTCGTAGGTAAACAATAAGTGCTGACATCTTAGGAAGCTGTTCGAAAGAAATGGATATTGACGCAGAAAAACCTAATCAGGATGGGAGGTAAGGTCATTGGCCAATTAGCCATTTAGAAGCGTAATGCACTTGAGCAGAAAATTTCCATTCAAAACTGATGCCGCATGCCATTATTAGTTCGAGAACAAAAATGTGGCTGAGTCGATGAAAGTTCTATAAGAACTGAGGTAGCACTGTAGAAAACATTGATTCAGAGCTGTTTTGTGCGATCGCTCAATGGTAAAAACCTAGAAATAATGGAACAGGTGATAACAATATTGATTAATTATAAACGATCGATAAGAATGAGTTGAGCGCTAATTTAAAGAGGACGCTAGTTTCGGCTGGAAACAACTGTGAGGGAAAAGGGAATCAGGATATAGCATAGGGATGGGTGAATGGGTGGACTGGTAGTGCTAGGATCTTCCCATCCACATTAATGGGCAGCGTAAGACTAATATTTTTAGTAGGCGAAGTCGTGTCAGAAGGCAAATGAATATTGGAGAGTGCAAGCGCACACATAGCTGGAAATGAATTTTTGAATTTGCCCTATCACTCCCCCTCCCCACCCCCCCCCCCCCCAAAAAAAAAAAACCGAATGAGTCGCACGCTGCGGACTGCTAATAACTATGTATTTCCGCTCAAAAGTGCCCAGGGAAAGGGGCTATAGTTGTGGTATCCGCGTGCCATTTTCACACTCAGGGTACAGTATCGTTGTGTGAAACACATGAGGAGGTCAGTACTTGGCCGCTGGGGAGAGGGCCGCGTAGGTGGTCGTCTTGTCGGAGGGCGGGGTAGCATGTGGCGTTGAGAGAAATCATGCAGCGCTTGGAAAAAAATTTTCCGCCGATTGTTGTTCGATTTTTCGCGGTTCTCCGTTTCAGATTGGCCAATAGTATCTCCCTAGTGGTGGCCCGCCGCAGCGCACATCGTTGTTGGGGAAGCCAACAGGGGGTCGTAATCTGGCCGCCAGGAAGAGGAGGTGGGTTAGTGATTACGTACCCAGTTAACGAGCGCACAAAGGTGTCAATGCTGCTGAGTCCTGATACAGCGGAAACTCTTTTTAGAGAACTTCGGGTACTGTAGGGAAAAAAATTTTGATACAAAACTTTATTCATCAAACTGAATTCCGAAATAACTTGGAACATGTTATAAGTCGATCATTCATCTACCTTAAGTGATTACAGCAGCTACAACTCATATTCTGGTGTCGATGATGGGGCGGTGCCCGCTTCGGCTTCTGGTGATGAGAGCCAACCTGTTTTTTTTCGACAAACGACAGGACTACCATATCGTTCGTATCAGACGTTTTCCAGCACTTGGTCTCCTTTATCGGAATCAGCAATTGGCGGAGCACGAATCTGGCGGCGTCTCGACAGGGACACGCTCCATACACAACGGAAAACACTGCTAAGAGCTGCAACAGGTTCGGGAATGACCTCCCTGAATCCTAAAGACACATTTGCTCGCGTGGACAGACATTACGCACAAATTGTACCCCATCACCTCTGCGCGGACCTTAGTGCGCGGCGCATCAAAAGTTAGATGATGGCGCTAAACATCCTGCAGCCAGCACAGGGGATACGTACCTACATGTATTTCAGGCGTATCCGGACACGCCGCGTTCTAAACCACCGTACACAGAAAACGGACTTTCGAACAGTTCGGAGTGTTCCCCAAATAATCCCCAACGCAATTATCTCATGACTCCCGGGAGCTTCAAAAACGTTAAGTAGTTTTTGGAAAGAGGAAATCTTCTAGAACTCGCACGGTAGTTTTAGATTCCATAGCTGTGAGAGTTCAGGGAAATATCTTGAGTTCAAACCTGATAAACTCCGCACTGCAAACTACTGCCAAAAAAAACCTCCCCAAAAACTCTCCAACGCAAATTTCTCTGCTGAATTTGAGTC